TCTCTCCTCCCCACTGGGGTTTTCACCCCGGCCTCGGTTCGCTACGACTGCGCAAGCTTCGGTGAGTCAAAGAATCCCCAATGCTTGCTCGTAGATGTAGATTAGGGGTTTCTTTCTTAGGCATGTGCTAGTACTTAGTGGATTTGATAGGATTAGATAGGATTCCAGTAGATCCGATTCGACGCGATCCCAATCGAATTGAATCCGACCGATATGTTCTTGTTTGCTACAGTGTGTGTTCTAGGATAACGTTCTTCTTCTAGTGCTTTCCTAGGATCTGTGTTCATGCTAGAATCCCCAATGCTAGTGTGCTTTGCTAGGATCCGTGTTCATGCTAGGATCTATGTTCATGCTATGGTCTTGCTAGGATCTGTGTTCATGCAAATGGCATGTTCATGTTCAAGCTAGGATCATGTTCATATTGTTGTTTATGTTGCTACATACATGTTCAAGCTAGGGTTTGTGTTGCATGCTCTAGATTGTTATACGTGCATGTAGGACCATTTTAGGATGCTGCCAAATGTGCATGTATGCACATGAGTGCTATTTTTAGATGTTTCCATGCTTAGGATAGTGCACTGATGAGTGGCAGTTGCAGAAGAACAGATGCCACTGATCAGTGGCATTTGCTCATAGGAAACTACCAGTGATCAGTGCCACTTGCTCTTGGGCAAGTCCCCTGATCAGTGGCATTTGGCAAAGAGTTTGTGCACTGATCGGTGGCATTTTCTCTTAGGCAAATGTCTCTAATTAGTGCCATTTGCTGTAGTGCTAGTGCAACTGATCAGTGGCATTTGCAGAAGAGCTAATGCCACTGATCAGTGGTTGTTCATTTTGCAAGCACCTCTAATACATGTCATATTACCTGACAAGATATTGAAGAGTGACTGGGACGTGGCGGGTGGAGGAGCTCAGATGGTGACCGGAGCTGAGGGCGCCGAGGATCTCATCCCCACAAACAGGTGGCTCAAGAGGGTGGACCTGCCTGGCAGGGTTTCCGAGGACCGGCCACGAGGAGGGGGCCCGGGAGCCGCCGCGCTTCTACCAGCAAATCAAGGACGCCGAAGACCTCGCCATGCTCTTCATCCCTCGCAAGTTCATGGAGGTGATGAACGAGTGGCTGGTCATCAAGCGGCTCCCACGTGTGGTCAGGCTGTTGGCAAACAAGTGGTGCGAGTTCTGGGTGCAGGTCCAGAACTTCAACGGGCACATGGTGCTTGGCCGGGGCTGGAACTACTTCTGCCACCGCCACCGGATCGTCCCCGGCGACCTCCTCATTGTGCGCTTCTCAAGAGTCGGCCTGAAGGTCCAAATCTACAACCACGACTCCTCGATCATTTGCAGATTTCGTTGCAGCAAACACGGCCGCGTTGGTGACATTGAGCATGCAATGTAGTTAACTTAGGTGTTAGTGTTGAACTTGTTATGGTTTGTGGCTAGAACTTATGGTACTTGTGCTGTGAACTTGTTAATATTTTGGCCAGGAGCAGCACCCTGATGTGGAGCAGGGAAGGAGGATGCCCCTGCTGTTAATCTAAGTAGTTGGCTGTCATTTCCGTGGTGTTGAAGCATCAACGACGAGCTTAGAAAGTAAAAGTGAGATGGCTTGTGGCAGCATGCGTGTGGACGACTGGACTAGTATGCAGCATCGCCGGCGGCATGGCAGCATCTGCCAGTGCCAGCGGTTGCTGTCCTCGCAACACCGGCGAGGTCGCAGCTCTACCTGGGCACATCATTTTTTAATCAATTCTTAATATTTCTTAAGAAAATCAAAACATTATTGGCAAACAAGAATGAGTTTCAAAAAATTATGAACAATTTTTGAATTAGTAACCAAATTTCAAAACCGCAACAAATATTAAAACTGTAAACAAATTATGGAAAAAAGGAACATTTTAAAAAATTCCAACCAATTTTTAGAAACACGAACAAGTTTTTGAAAATTGTGAGTAGATTTTTAATTTCAGAACCAAATTTAAAAACATAACTTTTAAATTTGTGAACAAATCTTGAAAAACGGGAACATTTTCCGAAAAACATCTGATTTTTTTAAACACAAACATTTTTTGAATTTGTGAACAAATCTTGAGAAGGGGAATATATTTTAAAATTCCAAACAAATTTTGACAATCACGAACATGTTTTGAAGAAATTTGAACAATTCGTGAATTTGGTAACAAATTTTCAAACAAGGGAAGAATTTTGAATTTGTGAACATATATTTAGAGCAGGAACAGTTTTAAATTTGTGATTTTTTTTAAACCCGAACAATATTTGAATACCACGAACAGTTTTTGAAATTCCAAACATATTTTAATATGCACTAAATAAACATAAACTTCACACAACTTTGCACTAAAATTGCATGTTTTTGTAATATGCAAAGAATAATCATATAATAATTCATTTTTGTGTATATTTTATAGTATTTTTGTTTATACATTTACGCTCATCCAACATCTCAAATACACATAAAGTAATATCAGAATAAAATTTTACTTATTAAAAATAAAAAAATAAAAAAATAAAATAAAAACAGAAAAGAAAGCTTTCCAAAGAAATAGCTTTGTAGCTACATTAGCTGCGGTTGGGATCATTTTAGGCACGGCATATTCCCTTTGGTTATATAATCGTGTGATTTCTGGCAATTTAAAACCCGATTTCCTCTATAAATTCTCCGATCTAAATGGCAAAGCATCTTGACCGGAGCCATGCAGAGCACAAAAAGTTGAGACTAAGAATTTGTTCACCACTTTAAGCCAAAAGATAGAAATGAAAGTTGTACCCATAGAATGAGATTAGATCCCGCAAGAGGGAGAGAGGGGAGGGCTGAGTCGCACTGGTAATAGGCTGCAGTCCGTTAAGAAACTCACCACCTCGAATGTGGTTAGTCGAGAAAACTCAGCCCAAAACAAGGGAGCTCATATTTAGCATAGGACGCACGGGCACCTCAAACAGGGGAGCTCGTATTCCGAAAAATGTTCATGATTTTTAAAAAAATGTTCACAAATTTGTAAAAAACATTTGTGATTTCAAAAAATATCATCAATTTGTAAAATAATGTTCGCGATTCAAAAAAAGGATCATGATTTCAAAAAATATTCACAATTCAGAAAGTATTTGTTAATTCAGAAGATGTTCATGATTCAAATAAAAAATTGTAAATATGTTAAAAGAAATGAAATGACAGGGAAAATGAAAAATAAAAATAAAAAAGAACAACCAAACAAAGATAGACAAAAGAAAAGAAAAAGAAAAAGAAAAAAAGAAAAGAAAGTGCCAAAAAAGGAAAAAAAGGTCTGGGAAGGTTCTAGAACCTTTCCAAAATCGGAAGAGGGAGCTTTAGCTACTTGGGCCCCATCCAAATTCAAGTAGAGATGTAGGGGAAGGCGCGTTTAGTATCTAGTGCGCCCTGCACGCTAAATAGGGAACCCGCCAAAACAACTCATCTAACATACCACAGAAAGGGTTAACACCAATCTCAAAGCAGAAATCAGTACCAAAAATTTGACTAACTAACCCAAAATCAATTTTCAAGCGACTTACATATAACTAAAATGCTACTATAAGAAAGCTTAAAATATCTGAAAGCTTCTAATAACATCATCTCTATCTCTGGAGGAGTGGGGTGGAGCGTGGAAGGCACACATGAACTTCTTTTCTATTTTTGATTGATTGATGACAAAAGGCACACATAAGCTTACCAGATGGCATGTGTGGTCAGCCATCTCTAAGTTGTTTTTTTTTGCAAGAAACTTTCAGTCTATTCATCTTCAGTCGTGGCAGTACAACGAACACTAGAAATAAAAATTACATCTAGAAAAGTAGACCACTCCTCTTCCCAAGCTATTCATCTTCTTACCAAGCTCCCAATGGCAAGTGGTAGAGTGGCCCTTATAAAGGGGTCTCAACTCTCGTCCACTAGCAAAGTGATACTAAACTTTCCAGCACCTGTCATATACCTACATGAACCCCAAGATTAACCAAAAATCATTGTTCATATGGGCCTAAAGCCCATCCATAATTCAACAATTACTAGGTTGTGTGTTCACGCGCCAGGTGTGGACGGTCATATGCCAACCTCTGGGCAAGCGGGATTGGATCCCTCTGAGGGACGACAAGCTCCAAGAGTGGTGCCAGAGCAAGGCCGGCACCAGACGCAGCAGACAAGCGGCACCCATTCTTGTACTATGGGAAGTGTGCAAACAACGCAACGCAATTGTATTTGATGGGATAGCACCATCAATAAACCGTGTAATTGGTAGGATAGAAGGGTATGGAGGACATGGAAGCAAGCCGGGCTAATCAACGAGGACGTAACCTCCTTCCTAGGAGCGCTAACAACGTGGGCTGCGGAGAGGAGTTAGACTAGCTATCGTCTTAAATCTATGCGGAGTTGGTTTCATGTAATATGTAACACCAACGCGGAAGGACTCTCTACCCCCATCCTCTTCTATAATACTGTATATAGTACGCACACTCGTGCATATTCGGAAAAAAATCATGTCACAGTGGATATTACTAGTTACAACTAAGTTTAACAGACTTGTGAAGAATTTTCATTGTAAATGGCCTCGGCCTCCGTTACTAATACCGATTTATCAAACAAGAACCGAGACTGAACTTGTAGCATGTGTCGCTGGCCAATCCTGATGTTGCTTTCTGACATGAACAGCGTGGTATTTCTGTTGCTATCTAACAATTGATACTTGCATCTGGAAGATATCTTATTATGCTGCATTACCATATCGATCGATTTATACAACTGACGCTTTGCCTCACATATGGGCAATTGTCACAGCCGCTTTCATGATCTTAGCACAAACACGTGGAGAAAGACAGGCCTCACACACAAAAAGATTACCCACCTGAGTCCACATCATATTAAGTTTTCCAAGGAGAGAGATTGCCAATTTTCGTCAACTGAAAAATAGTATGACGTTTTTCTTTTCCTTTCCAGTAAAAACAATCCAGAACGAGCACATACAATTGATATAGCACTAGACGGTGGCGGGCAGAAAACTATCCAAATGCAGGCTGCAAAAGCTGATACCGCCACCGTTGTCACCCGCGAGCATCTTGGGGGCGTCCGTGAATGTCCGATGACGAGGGTCATAGATTTGCAGCACCGCGAATTCGTCGATTTTAAGCGTGACATGGAAGAGCAGTTTACCGTTATCACGTAATATCCTCAAAGGCACAATGGGACCATAGGCAGACGGGTCCACAGGGATCGAGTACACCTTGATCCAGACCCCCTTGCGGGAATCGATTAGGAGCCATATGCTCATGGTTCCATGGTAAATGTTTCCTACCTCCGGCTGGAGCATACACAGGGCCCCGTTGAGTTCCTCCAAGGTAATGTCAAACCGGTGAAGTTGGATATTCGGTGGGCCTTTGATTCCCCCATTCCACTTCTCACTCTCCAGATCGAAGCAGGTCACGCTATCACCATTGAGCTGTGGAGCTAACATCAAGTACATGACACCCCTGACCACGACAGGGCGGCTGTTATAGGAGATGCTGCTAGGCAGGGGCTGCGTTTGCCTCCAGCCCACGTCATCCCCTACCGTGAGGATCTCACAGGTGCTGGGACTTATGCTGACCATCTTGTAGGCACCCGACGGGGCGGCGCGGCCGAAGCCCATAAAGCTAAATTTGCGGTGAATCACAGTGGCCTCTCCGGTTGCAAGGTTGAGCACTCTGGCTGTCTCCAGCGAATAGCCGACGACACACACCAGGTTGCCAGGGCTGCTGCAGACAAACCTTAAAATCGGATGAGAGTTTTTTATCACCTTGATGATGTGGCCGTCCATGTCGATGAGCCGCAGGGTCGATGGCTCGTCGCACGAGTTGGCGGCGATGGCGAGGAGCGGCTCCGCACGAGCCTTGTGCGCGGCGACGAAGCCAGGGTCGTTGATGAGGGCGCGCCACTCCCGGCACACGGATTTGAACCGGCACGCCGACTTCACCGGCATCCACGACAGGATGTCGAAGACGACGTCGTGCGGCAGCCAAACGGGAGTGCCACCGCCTTCGGTCGCAGGGGGCGCGGGCGAGCTCCATGGGGGTCGCAATGACGACGGCTTGATCCCCATGGCGCCTCTCACCCCGCAGATCCCGTTTTAACCTGGTATATACGTCCCGCCATACGTGGAATTTATACATAAAACTGTCCGGGTTTCGCTAGAAAGTCCTGTCCGGGTTGGACAAGGAGCAACGTATCGTACGTGTGTAAAAAGGCCAGGACCGACAGCTCTGTGGTCATCAGTTTTTTTTCGTGTGCGTCGGCCCTAGGAAACGATCCAGTAGATCGATCAGGACACTGCGTACAAGTACGATTACGAGAGGAGCCAACCTCCATGACGAATCAATAAGTCTGAGTTTACCCTCCGCGATCACAGATTGGGAAATAAAAACATGCCACCAGTTCACTAAAGTTAAACTTTGTGTCATCAAATCAGACACACAACATCCGGACATGAAAACCAGGACGTTTCCCCGGACATGAAAACCAGGACGTTTCCACGGACAAGCGAATAAGGAGACGGCCATCCAACATTGTCACCAAACGTGACAGTTCAAACAGACAATTAAAAAGACAAATGAAATTCATGCAAACCAGATAATATTCTTTAATTTTTGATATATTTTACAACCAAAAGGATGAAATTAAGAAAGTCGGTCATCCAATCCGGTGAACAAAATAATGCCATGAACGACATTTTGTTAAAATTAGAATATTTTTCGTAGCAAAAGTAGCCGACCCTAATCTACTTTTCAATGGAAGTGGGCATGTCTGTGCTTCACCTCCTACTCGTCGGATGTCCGCATGCCTAAAAACTTCCTCCAGCTTTGCTTCCGGTTTATGAGATTGTGAACGTCCGGACCACGTCGCAAACTTATGGTGCATGGTGTTGGATGGCCTAAAGTCTCCAGACAGCACAGTCGTTGGAGTTGCCCTAACTACTCTGGCCAGAATTGATGCTATGAACTTGAGGTTGTTTTCTCGGAAAGTGTACCATATGCTCATTACTATTAACATGAAAAGTGACATCGCCTTTGTTGCAATCAATAACAGCCCCTGCAGTATTCAAAAAGGGTCTACCAAGGATAATCGACATACTATTGTCCTCAGGAATATCAAGAATAATAAAGTCCGTTAAAATAGTGACGTTTGCAACCACAACAGGCACATCCTCACAAATACCGACAGGTATAGCAGTTGATTTATCAGCCATTTGTAAAGATATTTCAGTAGGTGTCAACTTATTCAATTCAAGTCTATGATATAAAGAGAGAGGCATAACACTAACACCGGCTCCAAGATCACATAAAGCAGTTTTAACATAGTTTCTTTTAATGGAGCATGGTGTCGTGATTCTAAGTCTGACAGTAGAATGGGGGGTAAGTATGGAAAGGCAAGGTCCTAGCTATGGAGTAGTTGTACACACGGGTGTTTAGCGAGTTCAGGCCCTTCTCTGAGGAAGTAACAGCCCTACGTCTCGGAGCCTGGAGGCGGTCGACTGATCTCTGTGTATATGAGTTACAGGGATGCGAACCCTTCTACCAGTGGAGGGGGGTGGCTTATATAGAGGACGCCAGGACCCCAGCCAGCCCACGTAGAGGAGGGTTAAAGTACATTAAGGCTGGGCGTACTGGTAACGCCCTACATAAAGTGTCATCATGACCATTAAGACTATTCAATTACAGACCGTTTGGATGCAGAGTAGATCCTGAACTTCTGATGGTCGAGTGCATCTTCATGGTCGAGTGTCTTCTAGCCAGTCGAGTGGAGTCTTCCTTGGTCGAGTGGAACTTCTCTTGGTCGACTGGAAGGTAGCTTCGTATGATGATGTCCTTTGGCATGGTATCCTAGATAGGTCCATGACCCTACCCTAGGTACATAACCTCATCATTAGCCCCCGAATGGATCGAGGTTCGAGTGAGGAAGGAGTTGACGATTTTCTCCGACTTGTTTACTGTACTTTGATTATGTCGTATGTTGGATCGGCGATTCTTCTTTCGGCGTTGGCGTCGACTTTTACTTCAGTCGCCTTGATCCATTCTTATCTTTTGTCGAGTGAACTTTTGAACTTTGGTGAACTTCCGAGCGACGGATCGCGGGAAGGATATCGTCTGACAGATTGATCTGCTGTTAGCGGATTTTGCGGGATCTGAAATTTGGGAAGCGCGCGAAGCGGGGCGATCCGCGGCAATCGGGCGGGATAAGGCATGGACGCCTCGATTTCTGCCCGCCTTTTTCGCCACGTATCGTACGTGTGCGACTGTTTCGGGATGTGACATATCTGCTCGGACCCACTCGTCAGCCACTCGGAAGCGCCCTTATATAAAGCGTCGGGGTGAGTTTTTGAACAGTGCCTTCCCATTCTCCTCTCTTCCCTCTCTGCCTCCGCCCACGGCGCCTGCTCCTACCTCCGCCTTATCCACCTCTCGAGCGCTTCGCCGGCGATAATGGTGAAGGAGAAGACGGCGGCTCTAGAGCGCGCGAAGAAGGCGGCGGCAACGGGGCAAGCGAAGGGGAGACCGTCCAGTCGGGGCGGATCTTCGTCGAGGTCCCGCCTGCCGAAGGGTTGGGTCCAAGGGGATTGGATCCGCTCGACCATCACTGGGAAGGACCTCGACGACCTGGCCGATGAGGGACTGATCCCCCACGGGTCAGCGAGGCTCCCGGGGTCCGAGTGTGAACCGGAGCCGCAGGAGGGTGAGTGCGTTCTCTTAGCCACTCACGTAGATCGTGGTTTTTCTCTGCCGCCGAGTGTGTTCTTCCGTGGGTTTCTGAATTTCTTTGGGGCGCAACTCCACCATTTCAATCCCAATTCCATTGCCTATCTTGCTGCCTTTGTGTCCATGTGCGAGAACTTCCTAGGTTGTCGACTGCACTGGGGTCTCTTCAAGCACATATTCACCTGTCGGTCACAGACAGTAAAAAAGGCGAGTCCGGGTGATGAGAGGACAAAGGTTATACGGATGTGCGGGGGTCTTGGGATTCAGTTGAGGAATAAGAGCACTTTCCCGGCCATGACCCTTCCTGAGTCGGTCAGAGGGTGGCAATCGACTTGGTTCTACTGCCAAGACGAGTCGACGCCGGGGCAATCGACTGGTCTCCCTCCGTTCTCCATGGACCGAGTGGACAAACCGTCTTCTCTGAAGGTGCTTCCTGAGGAGAAAGCCGAGGTAAAAATGTTGGTGGAGCGCGTGGTCCAACTCATTCGGGACGGAGTGACGGGCATGGATCTTGTGGAAGTCTTCCTTAGGCAGCGTATCCAACCGCTCCAGTACCGAGGCCACCCGATGTGGCTGTACTGCGGTACTGAAGACACCACTCGGGTCCATCCAGAGGCAGTCGACGATGCCACACTGGAGAGGTGGGTGGCCGCCATCACAGGGAACAAGGACAACCCTCGAGGGGCGAGGAGGATCCCGCCACTCGACTGTACCTATACGCCGGACAAGGTATGGCCGCTTATCTCCAAGTGTAATTTTGTTTTATCCATTCTGCTTTGCCGCGAATTGGTCGATTGATCTTTGTTTTGCTTTGTTGCTTGTCTGACAGGCCACCACTGAATTGTACTCGATGCCCAATGGGGCGCAGAAGCCGACTGAGGAGGGGGAAGGAAGCGGGGGCGAAAGCCCAGAGGAGTGGGATTCGGATGCTGACAACAACGACAAGGGTGACGACTCTGGTGAGGAGGAAGAAGAGGAGGAGGAGGAGGAAGTTGCACCTTCCCGCTCGGAAAGACACTCGAAGCTTGTCCATGATCCAGCGACTGAGCGGGGTAAGGGGGTCGCGACTGCTTCCCAGTCGACCAAGCGCCCTCAGACCACTTCTCCGGTGCTGACTAAGAAGGCTCCGAAGCAATCTCGAGTGGCACCGTCGAAGCCTGCAAAGGTCTTGCCAAAGATGAAGATGGTGATCCCCACTATCTCAGGGTAATGGTAGTTTTGAGCTTTCCCTGTTTCATGAACTTGTTCTTGGTCGACTCATGGGCCAATCGACTGACTTTTGGAACTGCAGCGCTGCTACTTCTGATACTTCGGCCAAGGCTGAAGACCACGAGATGGAGGATGCTGCTACCTTGCAACCTGGTATGATTCTTGTGATGCCGTTTTTAGTCGATTGACTTATTGTCTCTAATTTTGATTCTTTCTGCAGCTTCATCTAATGTTGTTATTGACCTTCCTGACGACGACGACGAAGAACCACCGAGGCAAAGGAGGAGCAAGAAAACGCCTGCTGGCAAGGCGACTCGAGATGTGCCAGCACCCGAGACGTTGGTCGTGGAGGGAGATAATGTCACTCGACCCACCGTAACCTTCGTGGTGCCATTGACGAGTGCTCGCCCTTCGTCCTTGAGTGCTGCTCAACCCTCGCTTTTCTCCACCTACCCCGTTCCAGAAGACCAAGCCAGTGCTGCTAGAGAGGCGATACGCCAAGCGGGGGTCATGATGGAGCAAGTGAAGGCAATTCGAGAAGCCAGCCAGGCAGCCTATGACGCCAGTTCGGCACTCCAGAGTAATGTTCAGGTCAGTCGGTCACTGCCTGTTCTTCTTTCTGAAATTCCTAAAGTCTGTCTTACACCCACTGGGTGTGTGTCGATTGAAATTCCGGATTAGTGGGGGCACGCTGAGTGCACCCACTGGGTGTAGTCCCCAAGGCTATGGTGGACTGCTGGCAGTCGACCATAGTCTTTATGTTTTTGAGTTTTTCTTTACTCGACAAGGTCGAATAGATTCATAGACCGGTGGGGGCACGCTGAGTGCACCCACTGGGTGTAGTCCCCGAGACTGTGGTCGACTGCCGGCAGTCGACTATAGTCTAAAGAACATTGCCTCATTTTTTTTGTTGGTCGACTGGTCGACTCTTGATGAAACTAGTGGGGGCACGCTGAGTGCACCCACTGGGTGTAGTCCCCGAGACTATGGTCGAATGTTTGCATTCGCCGTAGTCTTAGAAACGCTATGATTTTTCCTTACTCACTCGGAAGTGAATTGTCTTTGACGTCTGTCAATTGGTTCTTCGTAGAAATCATGTGACCTTGCGGCTCGTTATACTGAGTTGGAGAACAAACACATT